GACCAGGCCGGAGGCTGGGAATGGGTCTGAGCAGCTCACCTGGCAGCTACCTGCCTGGGGTCCCGATGGGCCCTCCGCCAACCTGCGAGAGTCGGACCCCTGTTCTGGCGCCCAGTGTCTGGGCCCAGACTCCCCGCAGAGGAGGCCCCACCCTCAACCGCCACCAACCCCAGCCCTGGCCACCCAGGGTTTAGGGCCATCAGGGAGTCCAGAGTCCACCTGGGGCCCTGGGGGTCCAGGCCGAGGCCACTGGGCCCCGCTATGCAGTTGGGCACACTGAGGCCAGAGGCAGCAGGGCGGGGCCAGGGTGGGGCCGGAGTCCTGCTCTTCCATCCGGCCAGTGAACTCTGTCCCGAGGGCGCGGGGCAATGGAGTGCTGTCTCAGGTATTCCCACGGGGACCCCACGAGTGGCCTGCCACAGGCGGTGATTCGCCCCGTCCCCCCCGACATTCCCAGCTCCTACAGAGACATGGCCTAAGTCTAGAGCCGAGTGTCCACGTGGGGCACGGCTCCACGGAGGGCTCAGCTGGTCAGGGTCTGGGAGGGGCGTGCCCGGTGTGTGCTCCCAATGGTCTCTAGGCCTCTTCTCTGCCCCTGACAGACAGCTGCCTCCTGCCCCGCCCAGGCCTGGCCCTGGCCGTGGGGAAGGCGGTGGGGAAGCTCCCAGAGGCTGGCGCCAGACCCAGTGCACCCTGGGCCAAGGCGCTGTCCTGATTAAGTCTAGATATGGCCTGCAAGTGGCCCCTGATGACAGGGAGAGCCCTGCCCTTTGTCCTTCGTCCTTTGCCCTTTGTCCTCTGCTCAGCGGGCTGCTGGGATCAGGGCCAGGAAGTTCAGCTCATCAGCTGATGGGCACACACCCTCCTCCTCCTCCCACACCCTCCCACGCCTCCCCCAAAGCCCACTGTGGGTACCACGGAGGGAGAGGCCACTGGCCCGGAGCTCCCCGCTGGGAGCAGGAGTGGCAGCCACCCCAGCAGGCCCTTTCCAGCCCAGGAGTGACGTGGGGCACTTCTCTGAGCTGACACACCCCCGTGTTGTCCTCCCGACAGCCCCCCACAGTGTCCCCCCACTTTACAGGTGAAGAAACCGAGGCCTCCCCGTTACCTGCCCAGAGTCACAGAGATGGCACACCTGGTCCATCTCGCCATCGCCCCTTGGGCAGGCCCCTCACTCCTCAGCCTGACCTGTGATTTGGGGAGCCATCAAGGCCCCTGCCTCATGGGACAATTGACGGGGAGTGAGCAAGACAGGCCTGGCCCCTGGAGGCCGTGAGGGCAGTGGGGCCTGTGGGGGATGGGGACTCAGTACCTCACCTCCAGGGGAGCACAGCCCCGCATGGGAGTGAGGGAGCCGCACACACCCAGGCAGGTCCCGGCCCCGACTGGCAGCCTTGGTACCCACAACCTTAAAACGGTCTAATGAACGCTGCCTGCCTACCCTTTGGGGTGGCCATGGGGCCAGAATCGAATTCCAGAGCCACCGGAAGGGAAGAGCAGAAAGGGAAGAGCACCAAGCCAGGCCACTGTCCTCACGCCGAGGCTGTGGGTGTGCGCACACCTCTGTGTTTGTTACAGACTCCTGCTCGGCCAGAGGCAGCGAGGAACTGAATCTGAGGGGGCTGCAGGCTGCTGCTTTACGTGGAGCCACCTGCTGAAGCATCAGCTTTGGCCCGTCCCGCTCCCGCACTCCCGGCCTTCAGCCTCTGTAGCTCCCCAGCACCCTGCAGGACAAAGTCCCGGCTCTGGGTTTATGCCAGTCCCCGAGCACACGCCTGCCCCAGGCATTCTGGATGCCAGCTAATCCATCGCCAGGCTCGCGAAGCACTTTGCCACCTCCTGGCTGGACGCCAGAGCTGTATTGCTGTGGCCCTGCAGCTCCCTGCCCTCACTGGGCCAGGCAGAGGGAGGGCAGGCGGCCAGCTTTGCGGGGAGCAGCACAGAGGTCCTGCAGCTGTCACCTGGGCGGCCTGGTCCCGAGTTCCAGATCCAGTTCCCACCAGTTTCCTGCTGGGTCTCGGGGTGCTCCCAGTGCTGGGTCCCAGAGGCTGGCCCCGTGAGCTTGTGTCTGTGGGTGCCCAGCCTCCAGGAGGGCCTGTCTCTGGAATTTCGGGCTCCAGACCCCAAGCTTAACCAGGTCTGTGAGTCTGGGCTCTGCCATGTCCACCTCAGTGTC